TATTCTGTAGAAACTCGTTAGTATATTTTCTATATTATAATCAGAAAAAAAATGAATATGAAAGCCAATGTTTTTTTTTTTTTTAAAGTAGACAATGTTTATAAAAAATAAATTCCTGCAATTATTTCTATCAAACGAAGCTTAAATAAATAATATTGATAAATCATAATGTAGGTATAAATGAATAAATGAATAATTTAAAAAAAATGTAGTGTGTGGTATTGCAGTTTGTGTCCTTTACTTAGTCTCCTCACTAAATCGCACTAAATTACCACCTAGGCAATGTATTATTAAATATAATATAACTTATAAAATATATTAATGAATTGTTTATATAAAAAATCTTTATTCAACCAAAACTTAAATTAAGAAGATACTATCATTATAAAAATTTTACAAACAATTATAATTTTTATTATAAGAAAATATAAAAATTATGCTTAAKTTGGAATATTTAAAGAAAGTATGCAATTACATTAGGATTCTCAATAGCACARAAATATGCAAAATATAATTACGAATATTCGATATTATTTGATTGAATTCAGTTCCTCTAAAAAAGTAATAAAAAATAAAATAAAAAATRTATATTAATTCACAGCCCTGGTTATTTATCATATTCCCTGTGAGGCGTCGTGGACCGAAAACTTTTTGTGACCTCTTGGCTCTCACTCGTAATTATTACTTTCGTGCATAATATTATCCAAGTAACGTTGATAAATAGTGTTCAGAAGAAATCCAATCGAAACGTATAATAACCAAAATATAATAATTATTTAAACAATTTTACCACGAATTGAATTAATAATAACCTCGATAATAACCACTTACGATTGTATGTACAAACGAGGCGTAAGCGCTTCAATCGCGCCGGTGCAATACAAGTTGACAATCACCGACACACTACGGCGCCACAGTGGTTTGTAACGTTATTTTAGGGCCGACATGTCAAACTCAAAGTATCAAGTGGCCAAATATATTKAAAAGTTACTATGCGGGCCGTACATAAAAATTTAACAATAAAAAAAATTCTCATTCGATTTCGGTTTATCAGAAGATAATATGGTATAATAATGTATAGGTATACCAAATAAACCATTCTCTAAGAATCTAAGATAGATGTGACACGGCATTAATATTTTATTATTTTTTATTATGTTTTTATGTTTTTGTTCATTTATATTGGTAGCCTCGGGCCACAGAAAATTGCGCTGAGGCCGCGTGTTCGACACGCCTGTTTTAGGGGCTAAAAAGTCCCTTTTCAAAAATAATTTAAAAAAATGTCAAAACAATATTATCATAATATAAT